AATTTTTAAGTATAGAATTTTATTATTAATAATTAAGACATAATAATTTAGAAGCATATTATTTTTTAGAAATTTAAATATTTTTTATATAATTAATTTATTTAAGATACAATATTAATATATAAATTAAGATAAAATTTTCATACATATTTAAAGGATATCGAGTAATACAATACTTCAACAAAATAAAAAATAAAAAATAAAAATAAAAGTACAAAAAAAGTTCAGATAACAAAAAATTAAAATAAACAGTAATGACAATCTAATAATCTAGTAGAGTGGTATCGACTCCTCCAAGATCACTGAGATATTATTCAAATGAGTTTGAAAAAGGAGGTTGCTGATTTTGTTGTTGTCCGAGTCTCTTTTCTAAAATTCATGCTTGTTCAGCTTCAACAAATGCATGAACAATAGTATTTTGCATGGAACTTAAGTCTTGAAATAAGATTTTATTTTTCTTTATTGAGTTCTTTTAAGTCATGGTTCTTATTTTGAAGCTCCAAATGTCATTGTCTTTGGGCACTTATTTTTTTAAATTGCTCAGTAAGTTGTTTATTTCCATCATCCAGAGTTTTAATAAATATTGACAGCTTCATCAAATTTTCTTTTTAGTTAGGCTTTCTTCAACCCAATCAATCGTTCAGATTGAGAGCCACAAACATTATATTCTTCATCATCTAAATTTAGAGAAAGCACAGAGTCCAGGAGAGTGTGTTTTACTAGATTCATGGGTTAGATTTTTTGACTCCAATGAGACATACCCAAAGCTTGACATACGTGATGCTTGCCTAGCAATAGATTGACCATCTTGAAATTTTTCAAAATTTTTAATAATGTTTCACACATAATCAAACTTCCAACCTATTTTGAACTTCTTATCTTATGCAAACAATAATTTGGCTTGATCTAACTATAAATTGATATACACAATTACAATTAAATAAGTTGTGAAATGAAAAAGACATTGTAATAATAAACATGAATACTCATGATATCTTCATTTGAAGTGCCACTAATATGTCTATTTTAAACTTGTCGAATGCATGCGTGCATCTTCCTTGTTGCTTTCTCGATAATATGAATAAGAGATTGAACATATCTTTTTGAATGCATTTCCCAACTTTGGCTTTTGGAATTATTATACGCTTCTTCTATACGTGACTAAAAGTTATATGATGACTGATATATACATGTGATTAGGTCTTGAGAAATTTTCATATAAATTATGCATAAGATCTTATCTCGCTCATGAAAATATGCAGTTGATCGAATAGACATATTTTTCGGATGCTTAATGGATGCAAAATACCAGTTACATGACATGCTGCTCACCACTATTTATATAATAATTCTATTAGCATTCTTGACATCATTCTTACTTTGTAATTTAATATTACTCAATATGTGACCACTAACTAGAATTTGTCCTTTTTATTCTCAAACTTTTTAAATAGTATTGTTTGGATGCACTAGTTATTGCAATTTGTCGGATAAGATTCTCACACTTCTCATATAGTTTGACCATATGTAACCACTCACTGTAATTTATCCTTTGGGGTTCTCACACATCTCAAGCATCATTGATCGTATGTGACTAGTCATTACACTTCTCCTACAAATAACATATTTCCAAGTGATCTTAACATTACAATATCAATATGCATGATAGTTTTTCATCTTTTTCTTCCTTGGATGAAGAAGATACACTCCAACAGATAAATAGTTTACATGAAGAGGAAACAATGATTTATTGTGGCATAACAAATAATAATATGATGATCTAATATCTGCTTATACGACCTATTAACCACGTCTCTGCAGGAGGCTCAGTTATAGGGCATGCGTTTATCAACCGTGATCGGGAGGCTACAGATCGTCAACTCTATCAAAATTACTTCTAATGTGATCCAATATACAATTTTCCAACTAATATATCAAATGTCTCGAACATTGTTCCTACGCGTACTTGATGCAGTAAAAGCACATGATAACTACTTCCACCAACGAATGGATCACATCGATAGGCTTGGTTTATCACACCTCCATAAAAGTTACATTCATCCTTCGGATGTTAACATATATATTACTCACAAATGTCAAAGATAAACTCATTATAATAGGCGAATAAAAAAATAATTGAAAGTGTAAAGAGATTTTGTAGAGCAGTAGTCCAAGTATATTTTATCCTTCAATGATGTGGCTAGACTCCTTCACATTAATAAAAAATATGGTTTTCCAAGAATGTTGGGCAGTTTAGATTATATGCACTGAAAGTGAATAAAAATTATCCTACCAGGTGGGCTGGGCAATATGCGGGACATACTGGATCACCTACAATTATTTCAAGCCATGACATATTATGATCTTTGGATATGATATACTTACTTCGATTTGCCAAGCACTAATAATGATATAAATGTGTTGGAGTCTTCTTACCTATTCTCCAATCTCACTCAAGGTATAGCTCCTCACTATCATTACGTCATTCAATGAAAAGAATATAACATATGTTATTATTTGACTGATAATATATATTTGAAATGATCCTTAATTGTGCAAACTATTCAAGAATTATATACTTCAAAGAAATAATATTTTGCAATGAAACATAAAGAATGTAGAAAAGATGTAGAACATGCTTTTGGATCTCTCCAATGTTGTTTCACAATTGTAGTTGGACATGTACTTTTTTGGAGTAAAGATGTGTTGGCAGGTTGTGCTGCGATGGCCAATTCTTCTTTTGCAGGTTTTTGTCTTTGGCAACTGGTGCAACCGCCTGGTCTTCAGTCACTATATTCAGATTATTTTGATGAATGAGACTGTGCTCCTTCTGAGTCTATCTTTTGCCAATTATCATATTTTGTTTTTGCCACTGACTGGGTGTAAATTTTGCTTCTTTTGGTAGTTAGCTTTTCTTTTACAGATCAAATGTAATTCCCTTTTAGTTTCTTAATATATGGGCTTCACGCCCCGGGTTTTCCCAAAAAAAAAAAATAAATAAATAAAGCAACCAACTAGCCCTGAGCAGAGTGGCAGAGTGATCGGAAATGAAGAGCATTCCCGTTCTTCTCTTAGGATGCGGTGGCGTCGGCCGGCAGCTCTCTGATCACATCGTTGCCTGCCGTTCTCTCCACTCGAAGCAGGCACTGTCATCCTCTTTTGATCTTTAATTTCTTTATTATTATTTTTTTTTTGTCAAATTTCATTTCCATTCTGATTTCTTAAGAAACGATCGCTTCGTTTTCATTTATATCCCTTTCCTTGACTGAAAAGGGCATAGCGCTTCGAGTAGTAGGAATTTGTGACAGTCGCTCATTGCTTGCTGTCAATGATATTGTCAATTTGGAGCTGAAAGACGACTTATTGAAAGAAATATGCAAGATTAAATCATCGGGGTCTTCACTGTCTTCTCTGATGGATTTAGGTATCCTTTATAGTGTGGATTTTTCTCATGTTATTCGCTGGATATAATTTGATTATTAGCTCAGTGAATACAAAAAAGAAATAATTGTTCGTCTTTGTAAAAATGCTCCTTTTATCGTTTGAAAGAACCGTTCCTGAAGTGCTTTTTAAATTATATTAGTTCACGGCTTTTTTTAGTAAGGAAGATCTTTGAAGTAAAATTTTCCTGAAAGTTGGGGCTTTCTTGGAGTTATTAGGGCTCAAGCCTTAAAAGGAGTTCCTCAATATAAATTCTTATAAGTTCGTTCTTATTTGTACTCATTTCTGCATTGAGATTTCTGCTCAGTAGTATCTAGGGGTGCAACCGAGTCAAGCCGGCTCACGAGCTTGCTGGGGCTCGATGAGTCAAGCTTGAGATCGCGAGTCAAGCTCGAACACAATTTCGAGCTCGACAGCTTAACGAGCCCAAGTTCAACACCCTGCTGCTCGACTCACGAGCTCGTCGAGCAGCTCGTGTAACAACGACGGAAAAAATAAAACCGACGGGCGGGAAGATGAAAAACGATGCAGGCGGTAAGAAGCGGATGCAGGGAAAATTATACCGTGAGAAAATGAAAACCTCGGCTCGTTCGGACGACGCAGGCGAAGACGTGAATGATGAAAGACCCAGCCGGCAAGAGGAAAACAGAGAAAGAGGGAAAGAGAAATGATTTAATCTATGTTATGTAAACAGTATTACAGGCGGTATATATAGAATGAATTAGAACAAGAAAGTGAAATGGCTAGTAAAGAAATACACGTGTCCAAGAGTAATAGGTCCTAACAGCCCCCCTCAAATTAATCATTCATAGGTTGAATCGTTAATTTGCTTCGAAGCTCGGAGAATCTTGATGGTGAGAACGACTTTATTAGGATGTCTGTTATTTGGTTTGTTGAGCTGATATGAGAAATGGTAATGGCGTCGTAGTCGATGTGTTTCGTTCTGGCGTGAAAGACTGGATTATTCGCCAGAGCGATGGCGGAGGTATTATCACAGTGAATGCGTGTGGGAGATCATTGAGGAATTCGAAACTCTTCAAGTAGACGCCGGAGCCAAAGTACTTCAGATGTTGCAGATGCGAGGGAACGGTATTTTGCTTTAGTTGAGGACTTGGCTACCATGGGCTGTTTCTTGACAAATCAGGATATATGATTTTGGCCAAGGAACGTACAGAATCCAGAGACCGATTTCGGATCAGTTTGATCTGCGACCCAGTCAGCGTCCGTGTAGGATTGTAGAGTCAGGTTGCATTGTTGAAGAGGGAGACCATAGTGTAGCGTGCCTTTGATGTATCTGAGTAGGCGCTTGAGAGAGTGAAAGTTGCGGATAGTGGGAGAATGCATGTGTTGACAGATTGAGTTCGTAGCGAACGCTATATCAAGACGTGTAATTGAGAGGTATTGAAGAGAGCCAGCGAGTTTGCGGTAGAGCTATGGGTCGGTGAAAGGTTGATCGGAGTGATGTCTGGAGGCGGAGGACGAAGTAATCGGCGTCGGAGCTGGTTTGAAGTCAGTAAAACCTGCCGTCTGAAGGATGTTGGAGGCATAATGGTGTTGGGATAAAAATAGGCCTATTTTGGTGTGAATGACCTTGATACCGAGAAACAGAGAGAGTAAGATATCATCGACATAGATTAAAATATATAGTTGTATATGGTGCCGATGATAAATCAAGAGAGAAGGATCGAAACGAATGAACCCGAAACCCGAAGCGTTGAAGAAAGGAGGTGAGTTTTTAAAACCATAAGCATGGAGCTTGTTTGAGGACGTAAATGGATTTGTGAAGCTTGCAAACGTAATCGGGGTGTTATTGATCGGAGAAGCCTGATGGTTGTTTCATGTACACGTCGTCTGGAAGATCTCTGTGAAGGAAGGCGTTTGAGATGTCGAACTGAGAGATTGGCCAGTTGCGAGTTAGAGCAATGACGAGTAGTATACGAATGGTGGGCATCTTGGCGACGGGGCTAAAGGTTTCAGTGTAATTGATGCCGTATTGCTGAGTGAATCCTTGGGCGACAAGGCGAGCTTTGTAGTGGTCGACCTTGCCGTTTGGTAGTCGTTTGATCTTGTATGTTCATTTGCAACCGAAAACATGTTTGTTCGGAGGAGAGGGAACGAGGGACCAAGTTCCTTGACGTTGGAGGGTCAGGAATTCATCAGACATTGCAGTTTGCCAGTGTTGATGAAGTTTGGCTTGATGGTAGGAGAGCGGAGTATCAGCTGGTGTGAGAATAGCAGTTAAGTCGAAAATTGGTTTTGGTTTAGTGATACCAGGTTTTATTCTGGTTTGCATTGGATGTGTGGGGATAATTGTGAGAGTTTTTGATTGGGAGATGAGATGATCAGATGACTAGATAGGAGAGGTGGGAGAGGTATTGGATGGGATAATATTGGACGGAGGTGTATAAGATTTAGTGGGTTGAGGTTGGTTGGACTGGGTAGAAGGAAGAGAGGCGGAAGCCGGAGTGAGTAAAAGAGGTGAGTATGGGAGAGTACTGACATTTTTAGCTGGTAAAGGTTTGGGAGACTTATACGGAAAAATGTGCTCATATAATACCACATGGAGAGATATGTTGAGTTGATTTGTGTGAAGGTTGAAACATCGATATCCCTTATGGAAAGATGAGTATCCAAGAAATATACATTCCTTGGAGAGAGGAGTGAGTTTGTTCGGAGCATACGGTCTGAGCCAGGGAAAGCAGAGATACCCAAAGGTGCGAAGAAAGTTGTAGTTGGGATGTTTGGTATGAAGCTTATAATAAGGGCTGGAGAGGTGAATGTATTTGGAGGGCAATCTGTTAATGAGATAGTTTACCGTAGCTATGGCTTCACCCCAAAATAATTGAGGCAGATGGGCAACATGTAATAAAGTTCTGGTGAGGTCGAGTAAATGTTTATGTTTTCGTTCGGCTAGACCGTTTTGTTCGGGGTTGTGAGGGCAGCTGACTTGGTGAATTATGCCGTGATCGAAAAGATAAGTTTTGAATGCAAGGCTTGTAAATTCATCGCCGCCGTCTGATCTAAATGTTATAAGTTTCGTATTGAATTTGGTTTGACTTAGAGAGTGAAGATGTTTGAATTTGTTGAATGTTTCCGCTTTGGAGTGCATCAAGTATATCCATGAAAATCTGGTGAAATCATCTACAAAGATTACATAGTATTTAAATCCATTTAAAGAAGGCGACGGGGAGGGACCCCAAACGTCTTAGTGCAGAAGAGAGAAAGTAGTGCTTGAAACAGATAGAATTTTATTGAAAGTTTGTTTGTAGCTTTTTCCTATATTACAAGAATGACAAACATAAGCATAATTGAGAGTACATAAATCTGGAATAGTCTTGACTAAGGTGGACAGAATTTGGTGATGAGGGTGTCCGAGATGGGCGTGCCAGAGTTGAGTAGAGGGATGTTGGCTTGAAGAGTAGTCGGCTGCTGCGTGGGAGGAGTTTGAATTTGGTACAGACCGTTATGGAGACGACCATGAAGAAGAGGTCGTTGGTCCTGACGATCCTTAATGACGAAGCCGGTAGTGTCAAAACAAATGGAGACGTTGTTGTCAGCAGTGAGTTGAGAAATTGAAAGTAAGTTGTGAGAAAGAAGAGGAACGTAGAGTAGTTTTTATAGATGTAACTTACGGGCAGAGTCCGGTAGAGGTAGGATGCCTTGACCGGAGTTGTGAATCGAAAGGGTAGTGCCGTTGGCGATCGAAATAGAGTCAGAGCCTGGATAGAAGGATGGTTGGTGGATGTTGTTAATGTTAGGTGTGAGATGCGAAGATGCACCTCAATCAAGAACCCAATTGGATGTGTTCATGGCGTTGTTGTGAAGCAGCATGGCACAAGGGGGCCATGTAATGGTTGGAGCATATTTAAAGTTGCAATGGTGCCAACAGTTCAATGCAATATGTCCGGGTTTGCCACAAATCTGGCACATAGGGCGCTCCGAAGGGACGGGAGAACGGGGTGAGTTGTGAATGAGGTTTGGTCGAGGTTAAAAGTTGATTTCGATTTGAACGATTTTGGTTTCGGCTGCGATTGGATGATGTTCGATTGGTTGAAAGAACCGTTGTGTCAAGATTGGAAGAAGATTTTTGCTGCTCATTGAGGAGATTAATCTACTCACTACAGAGTAGGGAGTAAAGGGTGTCGAGGTCGATGGGGCTGAGAGACGTGCGAATGGCAAATTTAAAAGGATTGTAAGATGCAGGAAGACTATTCAATATGTACAAGATAATGTCTTCAGAGTCGATCTTGGAGCCGGATGCCGCGATGTTATCAACAAGATTCTTGACTTGAGCAAGATATTGCTGCATAGACAAATCTTTCATTTGAACTTTGTGTAATTCGTGTTTAAGTTGAATTACCCAAGATCGATTTGAAGGTTGAAGACGACGTTCGAGGATGGTCCAGATTTCTTGAGCGGTATAGGATGAGAGAACATAGGGTAAAATGGATGGAGAGACAGTAGAAAAGAGAGCAGAAATAAGATTTCTATCGGCAAGATTCCAGAGGTTGTAGGCGGAGCTTCTTTGATCTGTGGGGCACGGACCGCACGGTGTGTCTCCGGTTAGATGACCTGAGAAGCCATTCGCAGCAAAGTGTTGAAGAAGTTGTAATTGCCAAATGGGGTAAGTGTCGGAAGAAAGTTGTATGGGGACAAGATTTTTGAGGTTTGAGATGAGAAACTTGAGATTGGCGGGAATGGGAAGATCTGTGGATGTTTCCGAGAGGTTGGAGGTGGGAGGGATGGAAGCTGCCGATTCTTCTTGATCTGTTATGGCTTGAGCTGCTCTGATACCATGAAAGTTCCAGCCGGCAAGAGGAAAACAGAGAAAGAGGGAAAGAGAAATGATTTAATCTATGTTATGTAAAAAATATTACAGTCGGTATATATAGAACAAATTAGAACAAGAAAGGGTAACGACTGGCAAAGAAATACACGTGTCCAAGAGCAATAGGTCCTAATAAATGACGCTCAGGCGGGTGACACAGGCGCTCAGGACGACGATGCAGGAACTCAGGCGGACGATGCGTGAGCTCAGGCGGACGACGCAGGCACTCAGGCGAACGATGCAAGAGCTCAGGCGGATGTGCAGGTGGACAACGCGGGGCTTTTGCCGGCAGGAAGACGCTGACGACGCAGGTGGAAGACGCAGAAGCTGACGCAGGGCTTATTAATAGGCTCGAAGTGCGGCTCAACGAGCTCCTTTTCCTTTGCCGAGTCGAGCTCGAGCTCGAGCTCGGTATTTGACAGTTGAGCTCGGCTCGAACACATCCTGACTCGAGCTCGACTCGACTCTTTTGCACCCCTAGTAGTATCTATCCCTCATTTACACAGAGACATATATATATATATAATTTTAATATTAAATGCATGTATATATGAAATTCCTTTTAAAATTTTCCCTTATGAATTTCTAGAAATTGAAAAAAGAACGGATATCCTATGAACAATTTCTCGTGGAGGAATTATTCATCACTATTTTTTTTCATACATTGAGATATTTATTCATAATTCTTTATCATGGACGAAGATTTATGTCCAGAAGAAAACAACTCTCAATGCAAAATGAGTGGTGGTGAGGGATTCCTTCCTCTTTTTTATTTGCGTCCTTCAAAATAAATTCACCCCTGTCTGACCTAAAGCTGAGAACTCTAACTCATGACCCTAGCTTGCTCAAGCAGGGAGCCCATTTTGTTATAATTAACGACTTGTGGATTATTCTGTTGGACAGGGGAAGCTTTTTAGAGACATTGAACTTAGTATTTTGAAATTCTAAAGGCTTATTTTCTGTTTTTTTCTTGATTTCAGGCCAATGTCAAATTTTCAAGGACTCAGAAGCAAGAAAAAAGGTTATTGATATTGCTAGTCTTCTTGGCAGATCCACTGGTTTGTAAAGCTTCTGAGGTCAACTGTTATTTTGTATATTTAGGATGCCTAAGTTCATTAATTATTATGTATAAATTCATGGTGTTGATGATTGGTTTATTTTGCTGCTCTGTTTTCATTTCATACGTAGTATTTTTGGCGACCACAGGAGATGAGTATCTCTTTTGCAAGATAAATGTTAACTGATTATACGTAGTATTTGACTTTATAGATAATGAATAGTGTCCTTTTTACCTTAGCAGGTCTAGTTCTTGCTGATTGTTCTGCCAGCTCGGAGACTGTAGAATTATTAAAGCAAGGAATTGACCTAGGCTGCTGCATTGTGCTAGCAAACAAAAAACCACTTACCAGCAAAATTGTAATATTCCGTTTGCACATTTATATCATAGAGAATTAACTAAGGCTTCGTTTGGGACGACTTTCTTATTGCTTCTTAAAGCTGCTTTCTAAGACAAAAATTAAAAATTTTGTACTAAAAAACTGTTTTAAGAACTAGTAAGAAAGCTGTCTCAAATGAAGCCTAAATATCTCTCTTTCTCCTCTCTCTCTCTCTCTCTCTATATATATATATATATCAAACTCTTTCACTTTTACATGATATAATTTTTCTTAATTTCTTTAGCCACCTTATGACGACGTGGATTTACTTCACTGCAGGAAGAGTTTGACAAGTTGACATCTGATTTCCGCCATATCCGTTTTGAATCAACGGTAGGTGTTTGTAGATTATTTATATGTACATGTACACTCATATAAGGTTGGTGTATATGTTACAACGTATGTTTCCAATTTGTCAACTTTTTAGTGCTGCATTGAATCCTTAGTTTGCTGATATCTTTTAATAGTTGCTGATATCTTTTAATAGTTGTAGTGACTTAGGGATTATTGGTAAGCTGCTATTGTCATTATAGTTGATTGTGAAGTTGCTGTAGGAAAGCAATTGAAAGTTGTTGTGAGGATAATAATTGGAGCTGTTTGAATGCACTTATGGTGAAGAAGTTATATGGAAAGCGAATGACATTTCTTTAGTGTGTTAAAAGTTGGTGTGAAGCTGCTTTAGCATTCAAAAAACAAAAACACTGTCATTCATTCTTTTTTTTAAACATTATAATAAATGTATGATATTTTCGAATAGTATTAGTTAAAATGCGTTAACATTAAAAAACTCGATCCAATGATTATAATTTTAAAAATAGAATAAAATTTAAGGGAAAAAAAAAGTTTTTGTTTTTAAATTTGAAGAAATAATTTGGGTAACAATTCACCATAGTAATAGCTTACGGAAAACCTATATATAGTAGCATTAACATATGATGATATTCAACAGAAGCAAATTTCAAAGATGAAGAAGTTCAAACTTGTTTATTTAAAATTTTTGATAGTTTATCATCAAGCTTATCATTGATAAATGTACCATATTAAATGAAGCCTAAGTGTATGGATTTAGGGGCATTTTGGAATTTTATCAACTTTTAGAAAGTATTTTTAGACAACTATTTCAAATTAGTTTCTCATGACTATTTTAGATGGATAACCTCTCATATAGCAGGTGAAAAAAAAAACCATACAAAGACACATTTATTTTTGAAAAGTAGCTTTTCATATAGAAAAGTAAAATGAAAGTCAAACCAAGTGACCCCATAATGGTTATCATCAAATTTAAAGGCTTTCTTTATTGAATTTTGAGGGAAATTCATGTAAATGATTTGGAAAACACATGCTTTTATTCTAATTCTTTTAGAGATTTGTGTATCATGTATTTTACCAATTAAATTGGAAGAAGCTTGGCCCCTTATTTTTCCTCTTTAACATTGATGATTCCTTGTTTATGAAATGTTTGTGCTATCAAAAGTCATGTACTAATTTAGGGCATCTCCAACTGAACGTCATTCATCCGTTTACAGCTTTGGTGAGTGCCCACCTGAATGGAAAATGGAAACGCATTTCTACATTTTATTAAGCATGTGAACTGTGGGTCGCACTATTCATCAAAACACCTTTTTTTGTATTGAAAATGAATATAAAACAGAGACGATAAATAATATACATAGAATATTCTTTTTTGTTATTAGAAATAAAGTTTTGTTGGAGGTGAATTATTGTTTGATATGACTGTTACTGCATTTTGAAATGGAAAATAGGTTTTTTCGGTTGGAGATGCCCTTATATAGCAAGATGTCTTTTCAAAATGACGCTTTATATTTGGCAATCTGAAATAGAATCAAGTTCCTTTGGCTTTGTTGATGTGCTAATTAAATTCAACTTCACCTTAAAGGACAAGTAATGTTTTATTTACATGTCTTTTGATTCATATGGTTGCACTATGCCTACATAACAATCTATTTCCCATATTACTCTTGGGCCAAAGTATGTTAACCTCAGTATTTTATTCATGGATGGTACATAATTATCTAAACTTTTTACTGACAAAGGTTTTTAAGTGGATGGAAGGTGGGCAACCCCTCATAACATAAAGATGACAATGGAAGTGATATTTTTATTGAAAGAAGAGCAATAATATAAATGAGATTATTAAGGAACTCACAAAAGAACCCTAATAGGAGAAAGCTACCAAGCTTCACCTTCTATTGCATACAATGTTTAAAATTGCGTATTCGGGTATTAAGGCGTTTTTCATTCGTGAGGCGTGGCGTAAGCCTCAAGGCGTTTTGAGGCGTAAGCCTCAAAATCAAAAGATTGCGTAAACATAAAATGATAAATTTGTTATATATTAATGAGTAAATAATATAAAACATAAAAAAGTATAAGATATGAAGTGAAATCAAAATATCTCAATAATAAGACAACATGAAATATAGTTCAACTCAAAATTCTATCTTTCCGAAATCCCAGTATTCTTTTCATTAACATATATTTCCGTTTTCCAAAAATAAATAGCAATGACATATCTCATAAGAACTCATAAGTCATCAGCACTGTCATCACTAAGGGGTTCTTCATTTGAATCATCATTATGGTGAACTGCTCTCTCCCCTTACTCCTCTCCTATAGAGTCCAATGTCGGGCATTTACTTCAAGATTTATGTAAGTTTTAATATATATAGCGTGAGGCATAAGAATCATGCCCGTGAGGCGAGGCGGGCCTCAACCAAGTTAGGCGCAAGCCTATAAAAAAAACTCGAGGCTAGCATCGAGGCGTTTTTTATAGATTGCGTAAAGGCGGATCTCAAGGCGAGCCCTCAATATGCCGCAATTTTAAACATATTGCATACAAGCAATACCATTACATTGTTCCAATCAAGTGAATTATTTTTTATAGTTCCAACTCTTATTTTTAATAAGTATTAACGCATTGCAATGATAGCATCATTAATTTCGCACCTTGGGCTCCGAAAATTTGGCCCCGGCCTCCCCGTTTTTTTTCTTTTTATTCGGGCGAGGAGTTTAACGGAATAAGTTTCCGGGGTAAATTTTGGAAGGGCATGATGGGTTTTGTAGATAAAGACACTAACTCAGAGATTCGCCCTTCATTTTTGTGAGGATTTATGATTGAGTTTTGGGTTTCCCTATATGGGCAAGCCCTAAGTTAATACCCTTCCGCGATCACGAGAGAGAACTTTCGATTAAGGCTAGTCGCGATCAGATACATATGGAATACATGTTATCGGCATATAGTAGCAGGATAGTTTTGGAAATTTGCGTTGATTAATAGAGTTTGGATATTTAAAATTGGAAAATTTCACCATCTATTCACTTAAAATGCGGATGGTGGGGGAATGTTGATGGTGGACCCGATCAAGATCCATGTTCCTCATCCCGGCCCATCGTGTCCGCTTGGTCTACTTAGTCAGTAGGAGGTAAGTCACTCCAACTCTGACAGATAGGGATCCTTGGTCGGTGACATGGGTTGCTTCGTGCCAAGGGGACCTTATAATCGGGAATGGATGTTTGTCTAAGGGGACAAATTTGAATCCACCTTAGCTAACAGAGGGCTTTGTGCCCTATTGATCATATCCTATTGATTCATATCTCAAGGATTTAACGCCACTAAGGAGCGTATTGGCTCTGGCCATAACCGCTATCTGTGGTGCCATTTGGCGGCAAAACCACTCGGTTCAGAGGGCCCCGGGTCATAACCGTTTACCTACAGTGCCATTTGGTGGCAAAACTGCTGGTTAGAGGAGACGTACCACGTCCTTATCGGCAGGAGACTGTTTGAGAATGGATCCTAGTAATATTTTCGACTAGGCATTTGGCTCTTTGTGAGCTAGAGTAGTTTTTATTTTTGTCCACCTCGGCAAACTATTGTGGATGGTGGATGAATTTTGCTTTCAGTGGGTTGATGGATTTATTTCATTTTAAATATTTTTGGAATTTTTGGAATTTTGAGATTTTTGAATTTTTCTGGGATTTTAGGTGGAGCTTTAGAGTATTTGAAATGGACTTTGGATATTCGAGAGATATTTGATTGGGAACCCCTCCGGTTGAGATCTGCATTCAACACGGCCATCATCGGGGTGTTTGGGGTCATTTGTCTTTATGGATTGAACCTTGTCCACTCTGTCAGGCTGTCGACAGAGGATCGGGTTTCGTAGGCTTTATGCCCTTGATAGTGAATTCTCATTGTTTTAGGCCTTGAAGGCCTAATATGAATGTATTAAGACAAATATGACGATCGCCACAACCGTATATTTGTTTGTTGGTTCGAATCCTGCCGACTTCTATTGACCCGTATAGAAGGATTGGTTTCAAACTTGAATTCACTTGCCAGCCCGCGCAGCATCCCTAGACGCCACGTGTGTACCAATAACACGCTCGCCGGGGCCCATGTGGGTGTTTGGGGGCATTTTATAATTGAACCCTGTGCACTCCTTTTATCTACTTAGGAGGATCAGGTTCAAATTTAATAACCCGCGCAGCTCCCTAGACGTCACCTGTATACCAATAACACGCTCGCCGGGGCTCATGCGGGTTTGAGATTATATTTACCCCTTTTAGTGTGCTTATGTGTATACAAGCTATTGTGCACGTGCGGGGGTATTCTTGGAATATACGTCTTCTGTCTGCTTGTATGAATATTGCAGATCCGGTGGCGGCGTAGCAGCTCTTGAATAGAGTTGTTCGCTGCTTCGCACAGGTAGACTGTCGTGCACTACTTGTTGCTTTCTACAAGTGGGTCGTAGTGCACTAACGAATCTTCTGCTTTTGATCCGTAGGTGTTTGCATTTATTGTGACTCTTTGGCACTTTGCTTGTGAACATTATATTGGGTATACCATGGGTCTTCTATGGTAGTTTATAGGAGTATGCTTCTATCACCAACCCCTCCATGCACGCTGATTGGTGTTGACTATATGAGGATATTATACCCACTGCATATATGTTGCTATAATCTATAAAAGCTCTTTTCATTGTATATTGCATCATATGTATCTTCCCTTGATTTACATGGCTTTCATCACCACCTTGTGGACAATTTGTCGAATATACGAGTGTATGGCTATATTTGTATAGAACCTATCACTTCTACATCATTTCAATCGATGTTACTTATGAGTGGATTGCCAGTTCTATTTGTATTGTCTTCAAGCATGTCATTATCGTTCATGAATGATCACAAGTATCCCATAGTTGTTTGTAAGGGATTTTCATTCTCCCTTCACTAGCTAGTTGATTTTGACTGCTAGGATATTGCGATGATCATTTCCTTTGTGCTTGTAGGGAATGGGAATGTACGCTTGCCACGATATTAGCATAGGTGATATGAACAATCATTGTAGGCTTCTATATTCACATACTCATTATAGAGATATTGCTAGATCTCTAAAATTTGGTTCATGAGCGTTTCTTTCCACAA